TAAAAAAATAAAACCCCCAGTGGTGAATAAATACCACCAAAAGAAAGCTCTATCTGTCCCCAAAAAAGGGTATAAAATTCATTTCAGTACAGCGCTGCATGACGGAATAAATGTCAGTGAAAGTACCGCAGCGCTGAATACTGAAAAACGGCCTGGATGGGAAGGGGGTTTAACACCGCGGATGTCAACAGGTTAAGGGGGCACATGATTTTCATGTACAAAATGTTCCATAGTCATAGCAACGTTAGCAACAAACTCTTTACGATTAATTCCGTAACAAAGACTAGAGGACACCACCTGAAACTGGTAGAAAAAAAAATTCAAACACAAGGGGCGGAGGGGGTTCTTCTCAGTTCGCGCGGTTAGGGTCTGGAACTCGTTGCCACAAGCAGTGATTTCAGCTAATAGTGTGGAATCGTTCAAGAAGCTTTTGGACGATTTCCTGAGAAACGGTAATATACAGGGGTACAAGTACTCCTAATAACGAGATGACTCGGGGATCTTTACACACACACACACACACACACAATAGGTTGGACTTGATGGACTTATGTCTTTATTCAACCTCAAATACTATGTAACTATGTAACTATGTAACTATGTAACTATGACTGGGTGGACCTTAAAAAAAAAAAAATTAAAATAAAACATTTTTGGAGTGTGTGAGATTGTGTCTGTGGTTGTGTATGTAAGTCAGTGTTTGTGGAGGGCCCATTCACATTAGTACAGTGCGTTAATCACATAGTACCGTGCGATTAACGCACTGTACCATGGAATCGCACATACAGTGCATTCTGGTATGGGAGATGGGTTGCGTTGCCATTCATTTGAATGTTGCCCCAAACGTACCTCCCACCCACAGTTCTTACGCCCGCACCGGAGTATGCGGTACCCTAATGCCGTGCGTTCCATTGCAGTGCGATTTGGGTCGCGACTAAATGATCAAGGACAAATGTGGGTCCTGAGGTTACAGAGGTTGAGAACCACTGATCCAAAGAAAACCAATCTGGGAGCCACAACATAAAATGTAGAACACGCAGCCGTTATATAAAGGGTAGGCAACCACAAATCCCACCATGCCTCTGCCTCTGGGAGTCATGCCTGTGGCTGTCAGAGTCTTGCAATGCCTCATGGGACTTGTAGTTCCACACCAGCTGGAGTGCCAAGGTTGCCTCCCTCTGCGTTATACCATACACCCACAGCCGTGGCGTTGTACAAAACCCTTAACATTGGATGTTTTAGAGTACACGGACTCTCTCCAGCCTGTGAAGTTTTATCACTGCTGACAGCTGAGTGAGGAAACACAAAGGCAAGCGGTGAAGCGTGATCAGGTCCTGCAGCCGGCCAGACCATGAAGAAAAGGTCGGAGTGTTTGCTAAATCTGTGGGAAAAATCCCTTTACACCCCTCTGCCTATGTACATTCCTTACACACACAGCAACTCTGACAGCTTTTCTTTCCTGAAAGTCTCAGATGAAGGGGCGCAGCCCTAAACGAGTCAGTGGTGGCATGTGTACTCACACAGGGGCACGCAGCACAGATCAGTGGTCTCAGCATTGCTCGTTCCCCACATGGAAAGGGGATTTTGGGATTGAATACAGGGGGGACTCCTCTCAGACCGGCTACAGGAGAGACTGGCCTTCTAACTGGCTCGAAACACAGGTTCCGGAAAGCTGTGGCCGCTCAGCCGGTACAAAGCAATGACAGGCTGACAGCAGTTGCCCACCCGTGTTCAGGTGTAATCAAACATGGATCCCGCCACACAAATTCGCAGCCGGAGCCATAGAGCCTCGTGTGAATGAGACCCAACAAGACCCTTGGCAGGTCCACTTGTGGGCGTGGTTCATTTCAAAATGTTAATTGAGCTTGAGCTATTGAGCTCTGTAAACATCAAGACAGATTCTGACATGACAGTAAACTAAAGTGTCACCTTGGCTGTAACGGAGTACGAAATATTCTTATGCAATAGTTTATATCTACTAGACGAAAGACCACACCGCCACAAGCCAGGTGACTTCTGGTTGCTTACCGCTGACATATTTCCTGTGCTTGCTTCATGGTCTGCCCGGCACTGATGATGTCATCGGGTTCAAAGGTCATCATAGCTTGCATCTCCAAAATAGTGCCATACACCAGACTATGGTACATGCTCTCCTGGGATCTGCGGTGAGAAAAACACAGAGCGCTGAGGCAGGAATGCAGAGTCGGGTATCAGCTCTATCGTTATGTCACCAGACAACTTACAAGACAAACAAAGTGTGCAGCAGCGGCACGGGGACAATGTACAGATCGGGGAGGGGGGGCAGACAGCAGTTGACATGTAGAGATTCGTCATCCAGCAACCTCAGGCAGGTGAAACCAAGCGGAGAACTGCTAGTGCTAATCAACAAACACAGCAACCCACTCAATTCACTGCAACCAGAATCCAGAGAGCACCTCACAGGGTCGCTGGGAGTATATTTCTTGAAGCCTGCGCTCTCTAACATTCACATCAACCACAGTCATCATTTTCAAGCAGGCCTTAGGCCCCGTTCACATTGAGCGATTTATCGCGCGGTAATTCCCGCGATATCGCGGCTATTTACCGCGCGACATCGCTCTTCAATGCTTTGCAATGGGGCAAAGAGTCCTGCTGTTGCGGGGTCGTGTGTCGCTACAGCAGGGCCCTTTTTGGAGCGGATTTTGCCGCGATTCAATGCTTTTTGATGCAAGTCTTGTAGTAAGGAGCCTGCAGTGGGGGTGTTTGCAAATTTCTGCCCAGATCGCCAAACTAAAGATTAACGCAAGTAAGTTTTATACATCGGGATCGTTAGATATTTATCCATTTTAGGCCCTTCCATAGAAGGCTCTAGTAAGCTGGCCAGCGGAATCTCTCATTCCATCAAAATGCGGATGAGGAATCTTCCCAGCCGGCTGTTGTATTCCATCAGCCGGAGATTGCAGCTGTCAAATTACACCAACAGTGACTGCAGCTGATTGGTTGGTGTTCGGCTGACAATTTTCCACGATTCAGCAGGAAACGGATACATTTCACTCCGTGTATGGCCGGCTTTCATTTGTAGTGTGAGATCGGAAAACATATGTCAATATCCTGAATGGTTCTGTAACTCCGACTGTACAGCCTGGAACACAGAGGTGAAGGGCAATGCTAGTTTTAAGCAGATATGGGGCACCGCATGTAACGCAGAGGCCTGGGGCACCGCATGTAACACAGAGGCATGGGGCACCGCATGTAACGCAGAGGCCTGGGGCACCGCATCTAACGCAGAGGCCTGGGAATACAGGAGGCACGGGGTACAGCGCATAATACAGGAGGCACGGGGCACCGCGCGCAATACAGGAGGCACGGCGCGTAATACAGGAGGCACGGCGCGTAATACAGGAGGCACGGCGCGTAATACAGGAGGCACGGCGCGTAATACAGGAGGCACGGCGCGTAATACAGGAGGCACGGCGCGTAATACAGGAGGCACGGCGCGTAATACAGGAGGCACGGCGCGTAATACAGGAGGCACGGCGCGTAATACAGGAGGCACGGCGCGTAATACAGGAGGCACGGCGCGTAATACAGGAGGCACGGCGCGTAATACAGGAGGCACGGCGCGTAATACAGGAGGCACGGCGCGTAATACAGGAGGCACGGCGCGTAATACAGGAGGCACGGCGCGTAATACAGGAGGCACGGCGCGTAATACAGGAGGCACGGCGCGTAATACAGGAGGCACGGCGCGTAATACAGGAGGCACGGCGCGTAATACAGGAGGCACGGCGCGTAATACAGGAGGCACGGCGCGTAATACAGGAGGCACGGCGCGTAATACAGGAGGCACGGCGCGTAATACAGGAGGCACGGCGCGTAATACAGGAGGCACGGCGCGTAATACAGGAGGCACGGCGCGTAATACAGGAGGCACGGCGCGTAATACAGGAGGCACGGCGCGTAATACAGGAGGCACGGCGCGTAATACAGGAGGCACGGCGCGTAATACAGGAGGCACGGCGCGTAATACAGGAGGCACGGCGCGTAATACAGGAGGCACGGCGCGTAATACAGGAGGCACGGCGCGTAATACAGGAGGCACGGCGCGTAATACAGGAGGCACGGCGCGTAATACAGGAGGCACGGCGCGTAATACAGGAGGCACGGCGCGTAATACAGGAGGCACGGCGCGTAATACAGGAGGCACGGCGCGTAATACAGGAGGCACCGCGCGGAATACAGGAGGCACCGCGCGTAATACAGGAGGCACGGGGCACCGCGCGCAATACAGGAGACACGGGGCACCGCGCGCAATACAGGAGGCACGGCGCGTAATACAGGAGGCACCGCGCGTAATACAGGAGGCACCGCGCGTAATACAGGAGGCACCGCGCGTAATACAGGAGGCACCGGGCACCGCGCGTAATACAGGAGGCACTGCGTGGAATGCAGGAGGCACAGGGCACCGCGCGGCATACAGGAGGCACCGCGCGGCGCGTGGAATACAGAGGCATTGCTTGCAACATGCGCAGCTCTCACTGGTGACATGGATCCTGGGAAGTGAGCCGTGTATGACGGGTTGTTATATTTGATCAAAGATCCTGTTTAGGCTCAACCCCGACCTTCCCATTATTCCTTCACAGCTGTGCCGGCTCCTCTCCTGGACTGAAATGGCTACCTCTGATTTCACTGCACACTGCGAGCGTCTCACAATCTGCATTAGAAGCTGCAGAAAGTCAGATAGAGCCCGCCTCATTTCCTGGCTGGAGGATGTCTAGCATCGCCTAGCCCTTTCCTCCATAGCCTGACTGTCCCTGGCCCAATCATTTCAGTCATTGAATTTTGGATCTTACAATCAAGTTGTGTCAGCAGGAAGTTACCAACATGTCTAAAAAAAGGCTTGTAATGAAAACAGAAAGGTTTTATTTCAAAACGTCATTAGCATGTTGATGATGGGGGAGGGGGACATTGTAATAAC